TATGGGGAGTGGGATTGATTTGGATAGCTCTTTTCAAAAAGCCGACACAGACACGATGGGCCGAATGGCCTCCTTCTGTGCTATATAATTCTAGTTGTGGGTTGGTGGGGTGTGTGAAGAGGGAGAGAAACAAAATTATAACCACTTTAGCTCACTTACCTGTAAAAGATAATAATAATAATAATTCGGTGCACGTGATAATCATTGCAACTGATTTCATTCTATTTTTTGCCAACTGATGATGTTCTGATGAGTATTACCCAAAAAGAAAAATCTTTCTTTCAGATGTTGATTGATTTGCAGCATTTCTGTTTTTGTTGTCTAAACTCAAAATTTGAGAGGTTGTTTTGGGGGGGAAAAAAATGCAGCTACTATAGTTTGTGTGAAAACTTTATTCACTTGTAATGGTGCATTCAGCTAATATAGCAACACAGAGTAAGGGCCTCTATGGTACAGCATTTACGTCAATGATCCTATATCAAGAGGTTGAAAGCGGCATTGAACCATGAAATCTCTGGCAGCCACGTTTGTGTTATTAACTCAGCAATGACATCCGACAACAGTTAAGCACAAGCTTAGACAACTGGCAGCTCAGAGCACCAAAAGGTGAGCAGCACCCTCACTGATGCTAAATTAAACATAAAACAATACACAATTTTGCTGCCCCCAACGCCCAATGGCGGTGTGAAATTGAAGCCGATAAATTCCCCGCAGCTCAACTAATAAACTAGCTGATACAGCACATTCCTGATAACTGGTCGCTCCGAGGGAAAGGGTCACAGTGACAAACTATCAGGAGTGAGTAGCGAGTTTAGGCATATGTGGTAAATACATAAACGTGGCCCGGATATTGACAGCATGATGACTTAAGCGGTAATGATGACAAGTTAAGCCAGGGTTGAGTTATTAGGAGTTTACTGTACTTGCATCTATCTGAAGGCAAAGAAAGTTGAGAAAACATGGGACACTACAATCCGAGATTTGAAGAGGTACAAAAAATAAAATCCACAAAAATTAGCATTTAATGATGCCAAGTTCACTATAAGAATTCTCAATAATATGGTGGAATATGTATCTGTCAGATTACGTTGAACGTTACTATCTTGTATTTTGGTTTAAATCCATTTAGAATTAATATGGAGCAATGAACAAAGGTCATGCTTAAAGAAGGTATACATATTCTATGTAGGACAAAATGCTACGTATACACTGCACATCCCAGTACACTCGTTTAGTTGGAAGATGAACTGAAACAAATGGTGTAGTTCAGGGAATCTGAACGTTTGTTAAATGTACCACACCATAAATGGCGTTGATTTGAATGGAAAATTGGATGGATTTGATTTTGTCAAAACAACGTGGCTTTGCGAAATTCTCCACGCAAAAAAAAAAAATAGTATTGGCTGTTAAATGATTTCTGAACTCTACACCCCGGAGAATGGTGCTGAAGATCAAATCCATTGATCTGAGGCCAATTACAGTGACAGACTGCTGTCCCACCCAACAACCAGAGTGGAGAAATAAAACCTGGGAGTTGGGCCCAATTACTCACTGCATAAACTTACTTAATCTACACCTACATTAAAGGAAAGACTGTAAACCAGGATTATAGTCGTGCTAATTTGGAGAAAAGGAAAATTGCAACAACGTGCTCATGTAGTTGCACTTTTCGAAATGCATTTCAACATCTTAACGCAAATGATCTCAAAAACTCTCGTTTCTTTTCTCCTTTGGGATCTGGGTTAGAAGGAAAATACATGATACCAAGGATGAGGACCTTCAGCTGTGTGGAGGGGCTAGAGAAACTGGGATTGTTCTCCTTAGAGCAGAAAAGGTTATGGGGAGATTTAATAGAGGTGGTCAACATTTCTGAAGGGTTTTGATAAGAGTGAATTAGGAGAAATTGTTTCTATAGGCAGGTGGGTCGATAACCAGAGGACAAAGATTTAAGATAATTGACCAAAGAACCAGAGGGGAGATGAGGAGAAATGTTTGTAATCACAGAGTGGTTACAATCTGCACTGCCTGAAAGGGTGGTGGAAGCAGATTCAATAATAACTTTCAAAAGGGAATTGGATATTTACTTGAAAAGGAAAATAATTGCAAGGGTAATGGGGAAAGAGTGGGGGGAGTGGGTATGGTTGGGGTAGCTCTTCAAAGAGCTGGCATAGGCACAATGGGCCGAATGGCCTCCTTTAGTACTGTAAGATTCTATAGTTCTGAGACATGGTGGACCTTTCGTTCCAACCTGGATCCCAAAGGTGAAAAGAACAGAGTTGTGTTAATCCAATTGCAAAACAGCTTAATCTGGACTGTGCTTCACAAAAAAAAAGGAGCAATGTGTTAAAAATGTCCCGAGGCATTTTCAACCTAAGGAATCAACCTTCATTTGTATTTTCCAACAATTTAAATATACCTTTACTATAAGTTACTATGATACCACGTTAAATGCATGATGGACTAGTCAGAGGTTAAGCAACAATTCCAAAGCATTCCTGGGAAGGTCAGGGAGCATCAAGTCAACACAGATTGTTCAAGAACTCAGGTCAAGTTGTGGAATATCACGTAACTTCAAGCATCCAACAGTAGATTCAATGCAGTTCTGCCATGCAATGTTTCAATACCAAAATATTATTTTTCTACTGCAAGAATAATAGTACTCAGTAGCCCTATTCATCTTTGTGGCAGGAAGAGAGTCCTTAAGTTTCCTCACACCAAGATACTTTACTCTTATCCCTAGTTTAATATTTATATTTTTAATACTAAAATCAACATGTACAATATCCAACACAGTGTGCCTTTGACAGTTCAGAGATCAAATAGTTTCCTGTGAGTTTCTTTAAATATTAGACATAATAAAGAAAACTTAAAACCTCAAAGCCTGTTAAACTAGTACAGAAGAGCATCACGGATCCAAACATGAACTCGAAACTTTTTACTCCTGGCTACATATTATTTTCTTAAACAGCTGAACACATTCTGGGTGGTTCACAAACTAAAATTGAACCTTTCCTTTTTAAGAAATTTGAACACAATAATACATTGGTCTCACTTTTCATTTTGACAATACAAAGTAAACGATTTTCTTCAAAATGCTACAAAAATATGGGACCGCATTCTCATCTAGCAATCAACTTTATTTAAACAAAGTGCATCCTTAGTTATTAACATACCTTTTAAATTAATCTATTTACAGTAATAGTCCCACTTTGTGTGCAGGAAATGCTCAATCTCTTAATGAAGCTACCTCGGGTAATTCAGTCACTGATACATGGTCCCATGACTATTCACATCAATACGGTTGCAGTACAAACAGAAGCAGACAATACTGTTAATTCTCTAAGGTTAACTGTAAGGTTAATTTTATAAATATTCATTTGTTGTCCTATGCAGAAGTTCCGATTCCCCTGACCGCCCCACCACCACCACCACCATGCTGATAATTCCCAAGTTGAACTGAATAGTTTTATATTAAATGAATTCCGTTTCGTCCACAAAATACACAGTCTATTCACTTCACAGTATATTCTGTGAAGCGCTTCGGGACATTTCAATAAGGCGCTATATCAAATGCAAGATTATTATTATTACAGTACATTCCTCCATTAAATAATGTCTGCATTTTAACCATAACAAGTCCTGTCCTCACTGAGTGGTTGCTAATGTGCACCTTCACCTTGGATGACAATTGAGTGGGAATCTGTCTGATTTGCCCCCCTCCCCTTCCCTAATTGTGACGGGAGGCCATTTCTGCAACCACAATTTAGCATTGGGCAAGAAGCAAACTTTAGACCTTTCCCCTCTCTTCCCCCTGGACGTTATGCTAAGATTGTGCCTGAACAGACAGGCGTAGTCGGTTTCAATTTATTTGCAAGATTCTTGATGAAGATACCTAGAAAAAGACCTTTCTCTTTTCAATCTTGTGATCTTAATGTACACCCGATCAGGCAGATTTAGAGCGCAAGATTTTAATTGATTGAAAAAAAAGCACAACTGAGATGGATCATAGTAACACACTGGATGTACAGCATGTTAAATACACTATACTTTATGTTTTAGAAAGATTATGGATTCAGCATAAATGGGTAATATCATCTTTTTCGTGTGTAGTCCATTCCAACAATCTATCTGCGGGATTTCCATGTGCAGGTGGGAGGCATGGAATTCTCAGCTTGTTTTGCATACTCTTAAGCATGGTGATGTGTTTCTGCATGTGTCAGACACGCGCTGACCGAAAAAATATAATAGTATCAGCTTCAGTAGGTAGACCCCATGCTTCCCGCTGGGAATAATTTGTGCCTCTGGATGGGAGAAACATTTGACAGTCAAGAGTCTAATTCTTGCCCCACATTCTGATGGTCCTTGAACGATGGAGAGAAATAGCTTTGAAAATGGAAGAAATCTGTTCCAAGAACAGGAACAAAACATTCTTGGCTGCAGAATCAATTGGTTTAACAAACTGAAGTCCAAAATTCAAACTTGAAACATTTGCTGAAGAACTAAATGTGTTGCCTTGAACATAAAAACTCACTGAAAGCCACAAAGACAGTCAGGGATTATGTTATAACATTTCTGCACTAAGCAATTTGAACATGCAGTTGTGGTGGGGGGGTGGGGGGGGCGGTGAGCCTGTTCTAGCCTCATGCTGAAAAATCACAAACAAAAAAAACAGCGCAGTCTACAAAAACAAGCCATTAAGAGTTTCTTTTAAAAATGGACCACGCTTAAAACAATCCCTGGTCAGGTACAGTGCCAATCATTTTTGTAGGTTCTGGTCCAACAACAATTTTTATTCTACAAAACATTAACTTTTTAAAAATCAGACCAACTAAAGCAGCCAAGCAAGAAGCAGTTTCAGATTAGAGGGTCAGAATATATGAAATATGCAAGTAAGGCTTTAACAATCCTTGCATTTGATACAGCGTCTTATCACGTCTTCAAGTCGTCTCAAAGTGTTTCACAGAATATACTGTAAAGTGAATTGACTGTATATTTTGTGGGCGAAGCACAGCAGCCAACACTGTCCCACAAACAATCGTGGATTGAGACTTTAGAAGACTTTCCTACCTCAGACTGAAACTTAAATTGGATTTGTAAGAAATTAAGCCATTTGGCACAGACCTCAATAAGCAGATTTGTACCAAATATCAAGAATTAACATTAAAGCTAACCAGGAGAGGTTGGCTTCAACTATCCTTAAAGGCCAAATGATCATCTGGCTGGCCTGCTAGATCTTTTTCTAAATTTGGGATATAATTTAAATTATAACCTACTTCATTGGTTATAAATGCTATATTGGTATTCCATAGCTAGTTGTTCTTCCCATTATCCCACTTGCAACAGAGACGTTCAATATTCCTCAATTTTAGCACTACCTGCATAGGCCAACATAAGACTGGTACAATACGTTAAAAGCCATAATTTCGCTTAAAATCAAGCCCAGTTTTCACAATTTTAAACGTTCCCAAACGATTTCACCATTTGCAAACCCCAGAATATATTATAATATGCCAGGCAGCTTGGGCTCAATTCAGGAAAGTACAGGTTGAAGATTTAGCATGTTTACAAGCAGAGGGATAATTTTGGCTTAGGATAGTATAAATTGGGAAGCAAGATCAATTTCTATTCATCCTGAGGAAATGTCCAGATGTTTTGTCACAGTATGAAATTCAAGTAAGAATTAAATAAACCTCACTACTTTGTTCAGACAACTTAGCTCCACACACGTCAAGTGACCTAAGCACATGGTTGACAGTGCAAGATCCCACCAGAAGCAAATTATATAGTGAAGTAAGCCTTTTACGTCAGACACGGACCCTTCAATTAGTAATGATAGAACAAGCAGATCCAATTCAAATGTTAAGATCATTAAGTTCAACCATTTGGCAGCATCTCCTGCACACCCATTGCCCAAAAAATGTCTTGTAGTTTACAGGAAAGAATTTAGCCAGCGATATTTGAGATTTTCACCTCATTGTTGCAAAAGGTTAGTCTGCCTCATTACTATATACATCTTGGACACCCACAGCAGGATAAAAATCAATCATCTATTCAAAGATGAATCAGAAACATTGGTGCCGATCTCTCTTCCACGTTGCGTTATGACTGAAAAGTTGAAACCTTAGAACTGAAAATGACTGCCGATTTGTTGGGTGAGACAAATTATTAAAATACTTCCAATTCAGAACATTACATTTCTAGATAAATCTGATGCAAGTTAGGCAATTGTGATTGAACCCACTGAATAGCCATACTGAAGCGGTCATTACACACTTGCCCCATCCATGCAAACATGCTTATTCACAGGAGTGGCAATAACAACTGTACCAGTCTGCAAGAATATTTCTTAATCTAGTCTACACAAAAAAAAGTCTTCAAGTTAGCTCTTCACTGCACAAGGACAGCACTTCATCATCATGTTTCACTGGCTTACTCTCTGGTGTTCCCGATGATAGCCAGAATGAACATAAAGATATTGATGATGTCAGTGTAAAGGTTGAGCGCTGCAAAAATGTATTCCTCTGGGCTGATAACGGTCTGTTTGTTCCCCATGATCAGCTGGGTGTCAATGGCCAAAAACTACAGGAGGGAGAGGGGGAAAAAAAGCAAGTTAGACAAAATGTTCCAACTTCTCTATTAAAGTAGCTAATTCAAGTTGATGCTAAACTGGTGCAATTCTTTTGTATCTAGCACCACTTAACAAATCACTGCATCCCCATTTGTGAGTGGAATCGTGATCATGTAGGTACAAGTTAACACATGCCAACTGGCGGGGGGGGTGGGGGAGAGAAAGAGAAGAGGAGGAAGGTAAGTGGAGCCGCCTTGAAGCTGAGCTGGCTCCAAAGCGACGTGATTCGCAACGGAATGTCGGAATCAAGTCAATGCTCTGTGGCGGTTATGGTAGTTTGTTCCTGAGTTGGGCAGGTCCTTGGTAATCCCGGGCTCTACTGATGAGACACACTGCACCAGTTAACATTGCAAGCGGATTGGATGGTCCTATCTGGACAAGCAGTGGGAAGCTGGCCAGACAGGGCTCTCAACAGCAAGTATGCAACACAGGTTTAGCTGGTTAAACGCCAGCGGTTAGTCCAACAGACACTCTGGAGTTCCCAACCTGCACCTAATATTTTCCAGAATTAGGTAAGAAGGGTGTATCCCTCTCGGAAAAGTATGAATTCTATTCTAGATGCGCAGAAATTTCTACGTGCAAGTGGCATAATATGTGGAAATCTGTCTGGTTTGGATACTCTTAAGCATGGTGATGGATTGCCAGATGTGTCAAGACACCTGGCTGATAAAACAATTTACATCTAGTAATACATGGGACAATCTTTTATCAGCTGCTTGGGACGTCCTCCCGACGTGAAAGGCACTATACAAATGTAATCTTGTTGTTGTGGTTAATGAGATGAAATACAAATACAAATTCATTCCAGAAGCTAATTTGTATGAGATGTTTGGGTCACTTTTGGGCACCGAACCTCAGGAAAGATATATTGGCTCTGGAGGGATGCTGAGTAGATTCACCAGAATTATACCAGGGTTTAAAGGGTTACATTGTGAGAATATGTTGCATAAACTTGGTCTGTATTCACTTGAGTTTAGAAGATTGAGGGGTGATCTGATTGAGGTGCTTAAAATGATAAAATAATTTGATAGCGTAGCTGCAGAGAAACTACTTCTTCTGGTGGGTGAATCCAGAACAAGGGGGCATCATCTTAAAATTAGAGCTAGGCCACTGACAACAACAACAACAAGATTTCATTTATAGAGCACCTTTCACGTCGGTAGGACGTCCCAAGGTGTTGGACATTTGGGTCAGGACCCGAGCATTGGGGGGAAATGGTCAGGGTGAGGGGAGGGGGCGAGGAGGGGGTAGAGAGTCGAGAGGGGAGCTGAAGGCACGGTCAAAGAGGAAGGTCTTCAGACCAGCCTTGAAGGAGGAAAGGGAGGAGGCGGCGAAGGCACTGGGGGATGGAGTTCCAGAGCCCAGAAGCTGAGAGGCTGAAGGCCCGACCACCGATGGTAGGGCGGTTAGGACGGGGGATGTGGAGCAGACCGGAGCCGGAGGAACGGAGGGTATGGGCAGGTAAGTAGGGGGATAGTAGGTCAGAGAGGTAGGAGGGAGCGAGGCCGTGAATGGCCTTGTAGGTGAGGATGAGGATCTTGAATTTGATCCTCTGGGGGATGAGGAGCCAGTGGAGGCGAGCGAGGGTGGGAGTGATGTGGTCGCGGTGTCTGGTGCGGGACAGTACACGGAGCTGCAGAGTTCTGAATGACCTGCAGTGTGGAGGGAGGGCCGGGAAGGCCGACGAGGAGAGAGTTCCATAGTCCAGCCTTGAGGTGATAAAGGCGTGGACCAGAGTTTCAGCCGCGTGAGGGGTGAGGTAGTGCCGTAGTCTGGCGATGTTTCAGAGGTGATGGAAGGCGGTGCCAGTTGTGGTGCGGATATGAGGGAGAAAGGACAGCTCAGGGTCGAACAGAACCCCGAGGTTCCTGATGGCTTTGAGAGGTGGAGAGTGCAGCCTTGGATGCTGATGGTGTCAGCGCCTGAGGTGCGGAGGCGCTGACGTGAGCCAATCAGGAGGGCCTCAGTTTTACGCACATTGAGCTGAAGAAAGTTGTCTCTCGTCCAGGACTCTATGTCGGACAGACAGCTGTCAGGACATCGGGGGTCGTGGAGTTGAGGGTAGAGGAGGAAAGGTAGAGTTGGGTGTCATCCACATACATGTGGAAGTTAACCCGTGGGGCAAGGAGGTGGAGCTGAGAGATAAGGAGTGGAGTGGGGATGGGGTCAAGGGAGCAGGTGGTGGGTTTCAGGGACAGGATGAGTTTGGTGACAGAGGGTGGGGAAACGGGTTCGAAGGTGTGTAGGGGAGGATGGGTAGGAGTCGGAGTGTGGGAGGGTGGAAGTTGGAGGGGGAGTGACCGCGGAGCGAATTCCCTTGATTTTGGATTCAACGAAATCCAGCATCTCCTCGCAGTGAAGGTTGGAGGAGATGACCTGCGCGGGGGGTGGCGGGGGGGACGGAGGAGTCGGGATGTGGTAGAAAACAGTAGCCTGGGGTTGTTCTTCGCCTCCAGGATTATCCTGGAGTAGAAGGACGACTTGGCCGAGGCTAGAGTGGAGCGGTAGATTTTGAGGAGGTCCAGCCAGATTTGTCGGTGGACCGTTAGGCCAGATTTGACGCAGGTGCGTTCAGCGGCCCGCACCTGGCTCTTCAGTGAGCGGAGGTGGGTGGTGAACCAGGGGGAGGAGCGAGAGTAGGAGACAGTACGGGAGGTGATGGGGGCAAGAGTGTCGAGTGTGGAGGAGAGGGTGTTGTGGAGGAGGGTGAGAGCAGAAAAGGGGTCAGTGAGGGTTGAAGGCCAGAGGGAGAGGAGTTCAGAGGACTCCAAGACAGCGGTTACGGATTGTGGGGGTAACTTCTTCCAGGGGCGGTAGAAGATGGTGGTGGGTCTGGTGGAGGAGGAGGGTGGAGGTGGTGAAGGAGATGAAGTGGTGATCGGAGACGGCCTTGTCGGTAATGGTGACATCCGAGACACTGAGGCCCCGGGTGATCACCAAAGCGAGTGGGTGGCCGTGACTGTGAGTGGCGGAGTTGATGTGGAGGGAGAGGTTGAGCGAGGAGAGGAGGGAGGAGAAGTCCGAGGAGATGGAGCAGGAGGGGGTGAAGTGCAGGTTGAAGTCGCCCAGGATGATGAGGCGATCAGAGCAGAGGCAAAGAGATGTAAGTAGGGTAGAAATATCAGAGATGAAGGTGGGAGAGGTTTTAGGGGGCCGGTAGAGGAGGAGGATTTTGAGTGAGAGAAAGGAGGGGTGGGAGAGGTGCTCAAAAGAGGGGAAAGAGCCAGAGGAGTAGGGGGATAGGGCAAGTGCAGCCCTTGAAATAAGGGCTACACCACCGCCACAGCGTTTGGGCCGAGGGATGTGGTGGGAGGTGTAGCCGGGTGGTGTGGCCTCCGTGAGGGGGAAGGTGTCGCCTGGGGTGAGCCAGGTTTCCGTTAAGGCCATGATGTCAATGCTCTCATCAAGGATGAGATCGTTGATGACCAGGGCCTTGTTACAGAGGGAGTGGACGTTTTGTAGTCCGATGTGGAGGGAGCGGTTGACAGAAGGGTGTGTGGGGAGGGAGGGGGGTCCAGGTTGTGAGGCAGGGGTGGGAGGAATGGGGATGAGAGGTTGGCTCCCCAGGTCTGTGTCCGGGGTGGCTGGCGAATGGGGCAGTCGGTGTGGCTGCTGCTGGACAGCCAACGCCGAGTGCCACGGTGAGCCCGGCGGAGGATTTCCAGGCTGGAACAGAGGGAGGTTGTGGGAGGGTCAAGTGGGGATAGAAGGCGAGAGGGACAGAGAGAGAGGACAGAGCGGGAGAGATGCAGAGGGGGGAAGGGTTTGGAGGGAGGGAGGGGGTGAGGGTCAGAGCGGCAGCCATAATGCGCACGCGGGGACCGGGAGCGAGCGGTCAGGTGGATGGCATTAGCCCATAGGCTGGGGCAGCCAACCCAACAGGACCATAGTGGTCCCTGATGCGAGCCCTGGGGGGACGCAGAGGGTTTTTTTTGTTGTTGCACGTGCACACTCCTGAAACTAAACTATGATGTTAACGGTTCCCCCGCTCCGCCCTCTCCCCGCCCCCACAGCCCCCCACCCCCTAGCTGAACTCCCTGCCACCTCGTGCTCTTTACTACCTGAGAAGTTAGGCCCAGGATCCTCCCCGCGCTGTCCTGCCGCCGCTCCCCGTGTGGGAAATCAAGAAGCATTTCTTGACTTAGAAATCAAGAAGCATTTTTTCATGCAAAGGGTAGTGGAAATCTGGAACTCTCTCCCCCAAAAGGCTGTGGATACAGCATCCATTAAAATTTTCACACTGAGGTGGATAGAATTTTGTTAGGTCAGGGTGCCGTGGCATATGGGACAAAGGTGGGTAACTGGAGTTGAGGTACAGATCAGCCATGATCTTACAGAATGGCAGAACAGGCTCGAGGGACTGAATGGCCTACTCCTGTTCCTATGTTGGTATATCATAAACAGACATTGTCCGTAAAATCAGTGCAGTGAACAAAAGGCAAGTGTCACCTGAAGTGCACCAACATTCATTTTTAGGGTTAATTTTACGTGCAAGTGCCACACTTACCACAGTGAAGATCAGTGCACCAACTGATGCATAAACAATCTGGAGGATCTTGCTCTGGATGAAAATGCATAGAATTCCAAAGAAAAAGAGCACAACCACCGAGACCAGCATTACACCCATACAAGAGGTGAAGTCATACTTTGTCTGAGGAGAGAGGGAGAAATAACCATTAGCAGGGCAACAAATTGAAGCTTCAGAACAGTTCTGTGTGTCAGCACGAAAAGTTGATACGATCCGCTTTGCCTAGCAACAAAATGTAGACTCAGTGCAACTTAAAAGGAGTTTTATCAGCAGTTAATTGGGAATACGGTACTTGGGATCGAGTCTAGAGGAAGTAGATTTGTTCCACGTACTATTATGTGTTATCCACATAATTACACACACACACACACACACACACAAAGACGCTGACCCCACGTCTGAGGATGATGTTGCCAAGAGGAAGCACATAGAAGAGGAAAAGGAGGGGGCCAACGATACAGCCCTGAGGTCTACCTCAGGTTACTATGTCAGAGCAGGAGAAACAGTTGGAGACAGGGTATCTATTTGTTCAGTCAGGGTATTAAGGGATGCAGGGTAAGAGTGGGTAACTGGATTTGAAGTACAAATCAGCCATGATTTTATAGATTGGCGGAACAGGCTCGAGGGGCTGAATGGCGTATTCCTGTTTCTATGAGACAAAGTGGGGGCAGTGGAAGAACCAGGACAGTGTGGTCCCAAGGAGGTAAATGAGGGAGGAGGCGATAATAATAATAATCCTTGTATTTGGTAACAGCGCCTTATTACATCTTCAAGATACCTCAAAGTGCTTCATATAATATATTGTAAAGTGAATTCACTGTATATTTTGCAGGGAATTGCATACAGCAGTGTCCCACACACAGTCGTGGATTGAGTGACCAAATTTTTTGTTTATTTATTTCTTGAAGGGATTACCATCCCAAGAAAAGCGATCTGTCCATCGACTAACAACCAGGTTTCCACTTAATGCTAGGTAAACAGGCGTGAAGTAAGGAAACAACCGATTAATGAGGATGGAATGGTAGCCAGTATCGAAAGCAACAGAGAGGTCAAGGAAGATAAGGAGTTAAGAGAGCACGTCACTGGTTAACTCATAGTCCAGGCCGACAATCCAGTGCAGTATTGGGAGAGTGCCTTCAAATGGCAATATGGCCTCACTCCACCCTACCTCTGTAACCTCTTGTGCTCAGGCCATCCTCTCAATTCAGCAAACACTGACTAGCTTCACATCCTCTGCTACTTCCAATACCACAGGAATTTGAATCCCTCTGGCTCGTTGTCTGGAAATCCGTCCCGGAATCTCACAACTTGCTCCCTCCCTTCTCGCCTTCAAAACTCTTCAAACTTTTTCAATCATGCTTCTGGCTACTTTTCACCTTCCATTCTGACTCCTAGGCAACTGGGTGAAGAACTTAGAGATGTCCCTCCAAGGGGAGTGCTATAGAAATGTAAATTGTTGTTATCTTTTTTGAAATGTTAAACCTGTTCAGGCACATGTTAAAGATTCTATGACACTATTTGAAGAATGGTGATCCTGCCTACAATCCTCCACAAGCATTTTTCATTCTCCACATGGTTGTTTAATCGTGCTTTGTGCAATATAGCTGTTGCAAGAGTCACTACGATTCCTGGCCAACAATCCCCCAAATAAAATTGGTCATTCACTCCATGGCTGTTTGTGGGACATTGATGTGCGCAACTGGCCTGCCACATATCACCTTGAAGAAATTTCAATGTGATGAGGCATTAAGTAAAATTAGAAGAGTAAGTTGTTCCTTCTTACCTGCATGGAGAATAAGACCACAGTAAAGCAAACTGCTACAGTGATCCCAACAGCCATCACCACCGAATCTGTATTGTAGAAGCTAGCGACCATTCCAACCATGTACGACATACTTAGAGTCAGAACAGACTGCAGGCGAAAGGAACAAAGGATACCGGGTTAACCGTCCTCACTGTACTAAATGTATTAAAGAGAAACGTGTAATTTTATAAGATCTCCTACTGAACAGTTCACAGTTACATAGCCAGATCAACAATATACCCATTTAATAGGTTAATCCAGAAGCAAAAGTATCCAGTGGAACCGTAGAAATTTACAGCAGACAAGGTGGCTATTTGCCCCATTAAATCTGTGGGGCTAATTGAAAAACCAATTCACTCAGTCTCATATATGCTTTCCCCCCATACGTTGACACGTTATTCCTCTTTTGATATCTTTCTACTTTGAAAACTAATGTAGATCCTGCCACATCCTAAAAACTTCATAAAAACATTCCCCTTAAATTGCTCCCCTTGTGAATATCTTAATCTGATGCCCTCTAGTCAGTGATGCACCAATCAGTGGAAATAATTTTGCTCAACTATTGAAACAAAACCCCTCATAATTTTGAGGTCCACTGTCAGGTCTCCCCTCAACCTTGTCTCTTCCAATAAAAATAGGCCCATAAAGAGGGTGCAAAGGAGATTTATTCAGGTGGTATCAGGAATGAGTAGTTTGCAAGTACTTGCAAACCACTCATACCTATTACCACCTGAGTAAATCTCCTTTGCATCCTCTTTATGGCTCGGACTTCTTTTCTGAACTGGGGACTTAGTGGAGATGCCAATTCCAAATAGTGCAATTCAAATTTCTATACCTTTTGTCTTCACGTTAAACTTTTAACTTCAAGATAACCATCAAATTAATTCAAAAGAAAACAAAGCGATTTTTCTAGTTTGTGTGTCCCATACTTTCAACATTTGCTTTAGGTGAGTCAGCAGTTTGATTCAACTCTTCCAGCAAGATTTTTAAAGCCAATCCTTGGACAGGGAATTGAAGGCTTTTACGTACCAATGCCACCAGGTTCCAGGGATGCTTTCGTCGAAACTCTCCACAGCAGCTGAGGGCAATCAATGAAACTAAAAAGATGCCGTATGAGGCGTAGTATATTGAAGGAGTTTGTTTCACAAATTTCTTTGCATCATCAACGAATGTACAAATGCACACAAAGGCAAAAGTCACCATTAACTGAATGGTCAGAACCATATAAACCTGCAAGATAAAAACAAGCAAGCACGAGTTACACAAACGTCTTTAGCAGGTGAGTAACTGGACGAGGTGGTGCTCGCTCTCAGAATATCAAATTGCATAAAAGAAGTTTGAAGAAAAAGCATAGAAGAAGGCTTTCCTATAAACAGCTTCTCCCACATTTAGTCTTCTGGTGAAGATTAGAGTGTTAAAAGTTTTAATTTAGCAGAACCAAAATCCATGTCCCCAAAGTTAAGTCGAGTCCAGCAAACCTACCATCATAAAACTGTTGCCTTCCAGGACACTCCCATAGAAATAAATTAAAGCAAATACAGGGAAGCCCTGTTATAATAAGCTTTGCTTGTAGTGCTGGTATATGGTGGGCCATACTAACCGGCTGGACAGGACATCTAGCTTCTGCCACCCTTCAAAAAAACGACTTCAAGGTCTTCAGGTCACTGCTGACGTCACCCTCTCCCCCACACACCTACCCATACCTACCCACCCACCCACTGATATCACTGTCTGGCCAGCTTTCCCGCTTGAGGCAAAATTCCTTTCGACCAGGTCCTTGGGACTTCAGTTTCTCCCAAACTGTGGACTGTTTTTAAAATGAAGTAACACTACACACACCGTACCTTTCGAATGAAAGCTCTGCGGATGTTCTTGTCGTCAAAGTTTGATGAAGTCATTTCCTCGTTATCATAGTAGGCTGGTGGGATGTCGTCGTGGTAGCCTGAGCTGCTCAAAGAAACTGCAACAGAAAACGTAAATAACAAACCTTGCATTTAATATAGCGTCTTATGTCTTTGAGATGTCTCGAAACATTTCACAGAACATACGGCAAAGTGAATTGACTGTATATTTTGTGGGTGAAACGTAGCAGCCAATTGGGCACAGCAGCGTGTCACAAACAGTCATGGATCGAGTTAAGTAGGAGGGCCTCGGTCTTGCTGACATTCAACTGGAGAAAGGTGGCTCTCATCCAGGACTTGACGTCCGACAGGCAGAGCCAAGGTTAGCCTTCTGAATGACTCACGCGTCCTGCTACTTGAATCATACAGCACAGAAGGAGGCCACTTGGCCCATCGTGTCTGTGTCGGCTCTTTGAAAAGAGCTATCCAATTCAATCCCACTCCCCCGCGCTCTCTCCATTGCCCTGCAAACTTGTCCTCCCCAAATAATTATCTACTTCTCTTAAAAGTTGTTATCGAATCGGCTTCCCCCACCCTTTCAGGCAATGCATTCCAGATCCAAACAACTCGCTGTGTGAAACAATTTCTCCTCATTTCCCCTCTGTTTCTTTTAACAACTATTTTAAATTGGTGTCCTCGGGTTACTGACCCACCGCCAGTGGGAATAGTTTCTCCTTGTTCACCTTATCAAATCCCCTCATAATTTTGCAAACCTTCAAGTCTCCTCTTAACCTTCTCAGCTCCAAGGAGAATAATCCCAGTGTCTATCGCCTCTCCTGATAACTGAAGTCCCTCATTCCTGGTACCATTCTGGTAAATCTCCTTTGCACTCTCTCCAATGCCTTGACATCCTTCTTAAAGTGTGGGGCCCAGAACTGAACACAGTCTCTCGCTGAGGCCTAACCAGTGTTTTATAAAGGTTTATCATAACTTCCTGACTTTTGCATTCTATGCCCCATTTATAAAGCCTAGTATCCCGTATGCTTTTTGCTTTATCTCCCTATCCTGTCACCTTCAAAGGTTTACTTATATGAACCCCCACGTCTCTCTGTTCCTTCACCCCCTTTAAGACTCTACCATCAGCTTATATTACCTCTCCTCATTCTTCCTCTCAAAATGCATCACTTCACATTTCTCCACATTAAACTTTATCTGCCACGTGTCTGCCCATTTTACCAGTCTGTCTGTGTCCTCTTGCAGTCTGTTACTATCCTCCTCACTGTTTACTACTTTTCCTAGCTTAGTATCATCTGCAAACTTGGAAATTGTACTCCGTATACCCAAGTTCAGGTCATTTATATAGATCAATAACAACAGTGGTCCCAATACCACTGCACTCTTCCCTCCAGTCAGAAAAACCACCGTTCACCATCACTCTCTGCTTTCTGTCTTCCAGCCAATTCTGCATCCATGCTGCCACTGTCCCTCTAATACCGGGGGCTTTTATTTTCATTGCAAGTCTCCTATGTAGCACTTTATCAAAGCTCCTCTTGAAAATTCATATAAACTACATCAACTGCACTACCTTCATCAACCCTCTCTGTTACTTCATCCAAAAACTCTATCAGGTTTGTTAGGCGCGATTTGCCTTTAATAAATCCATGTTGGCTGTCCTTTATTAACTCATATTTTTCTAAGTGAAAATTTATTTTGTCCCGGATTATAGTCTCTAGAAGTTTCCCCACTACTGACGTTAGGCTGACTGGCCTATAGTTCCCGGATTTATCCTTTTGTCCTTTTTGGAACAGGAGAGTAACATGTGCAACCCTGCAGTCCTCTCGCACCAGCCCGGTGTTCCAAGGAGAAATGAAAGTTTGTGACAATAGCCTCCGTTATTTCCACCCTTACTTCCCTCAGTAACCTGGGATGCATCCCGTCTGGACCGGATGACTTATCTACCTTCAGCACCGTCAACCATTTTAGTACCGCCTCTCGGTTTATTCTCATCTTATCCAATTTCTCTACCTTCTCCTCCGATACTGTGGCATTGGCTGCATCTTCTTCTTTTGTGAAGACAAATGCAAAGTACTCATTCAGTGCGTCAGCCATGCCCTCTGCCTCCACAAGAAGATTTCCTCTTTGATCCCTAACTGGACCCACCCTACCTTTGACTAACCTTTTATTCTTTATATGTTTAAAAAAAACCTTAGGGTTCCCTTTTAGGTTACCCTCTAATCTTTTCTCATACAATCTCTTTGCCCCTCTTACTTCCCTTTTCAGTTCTCCTCTGTACTTTCTATATTCTATTTGATTATCTTCTGTATTTTGACCCTGACATTTATCATAAGCCTCTTTTTTCTGTTTTATTTTAATCCCAATTTCCTTATTTATCCAGGGAGGTTTGGATGCCCTACGTTTCCCCTTTGTTGGAATATATTCACGCCTGGTTCACGCCTTTGTCACCTCAAGGCTGGACTATGGGAACTCTCTCCTCGCCGGCCTTCCCGGCACCTCCCTCCACAAGCTGCAGGTCATTCAGAACTCTGCAGCTCGTGTACTGTCCCGCACCAGACACCGCGACCACATCACTCCCACCCTCGCTCCCCTCCACTGGCTCCCCATCCCCAGAGGATTGATTTCAAGATCCTCATCCTCACCTACAAGGCCATTCACGGCCTCGCTCCCTCCTACCTCTCCAACCTACTATCCCCCTACCTCCCTGCCCGTACCCTCCGTTCCTCTGGCTCCGGTCTGCTCCACGTCCCCGCCCCAACCGCCCTACTATCGGTGGTCGGGCCTTCAGCCTCTCAGCCCCGAGGCTCTGGAACTCTATCCCCCAGTGCCTTCGCCGCTTCCTCCCTTTCCTCCTTCAAGGCCGGTCTCAAAACCTTTCTCTTTGACCGTGCCTTCAGCTCCCCTCTCGACTCTCTTCCTCCTCCTCGCTCCCTCCCTTCCCTCCCCTCACCCTGACCATTTCCCCCTCCTCTCTCCCTCCCTTCCCTCCCCTCACCCTGACCATTTCCCCCCAATGCTCGGGTCATGACCCAACTGTGCAGCGCCTTGGGACGTCCTCCTGACGTGAAAGGCGCTCTATAAATGGAATCTTGTTGTTGTTGTTATATTTATTCTGTCTCCAAACTATCTCCTCCTTGAAGGCTTCCCATTGCTCTTTAGCTGTTTTATCAGCCAATCTTTCGTTCCAGTCCACCTTGGCCAGGTCCCTTTTTAAACTCACTGAAATTAGCCCTCTTCCAGTTGAGTATCTTCACCTTTGATTGTTCCTGGTCCCTTTCCTCACTTGCATGAGGTACTGGGAGTAATTCCGAGATCACCACCTTTGAGGTTCTACCCTTTAGCTTTTTCCCTAGCTTTACTCTCCCTGTAGTATCTCAGCCCTTTTTTTCCCCTACGTAATGGATCCCAACATGGACCACGACTTCTGGATGTTCCCCTCCCCCCTGTAGAACGCTTTGCGCCCGTTCTGTAATGTCTTCAACTCAGGCACCAGGGAGGTAACATATCATGCGAGAGTCACTTTTTGGTTGCAGAAATGTCTGTCTTCTCCTTTCACTGCTGTGTCCCCAAAGACAATTGCATTGACACTCTTCCCTGTGTCCCCCTGTCCATCCATTTGCTTTTGACTCCTCTACCCAGAGGTGTCATCACCCTCACCGGTATTCAGTACAGAGAACCAGTTTGTGAGTGCCACACTCTCAGGCGATTTCTGCACTGCCCGTCCCCTTTTCCATGCCGGGTGATCACCCACTCATTCAGTGACACCAACCTCTCCTCGAGCTCAGAAACCCTGAGCTTAAGCTCGAGCAGCCCGAGGTATTTGCTACACAGGTTTGTGGAGGGCACACAAAGCATCCTGGAGTCCCCACATAGCAGACATTGTGTATGCAACCAGTCTCAGCTGCCCTGCCATATTCCCAGATATTTTATATTATTTTAATATAACTATTATATATTTTATAATTAGGCACCTCTTTCCCCTCTGCACCGAATTTCTACTCTCACCAAACTCTTTAACAGAATTCTCATTCTGTTCCACCTCACTCAGTTCCCTCATCGCATTGCTGGGCTCTCTGCTCAAGTGAGGCTCCCGCAAGTCTTCCCCTTTATGTAGGACTCAAACAAAAGCATCCAGTTTCACCCAGTCAGCAAATATATTAATCCCCAATACCTGCTCTGTAATTAACTGCTAATTAACTTGTCTGCCTGCTTACATAGAAGGTTGCATCTACTTCCAGGAAGATTTCCCTCTCGTCTGCCAAATGAAAAAGTTCTCTCTTGCTCGCTGGTATTTCTCTTGCTGAAGAATTCCCACTCTCACCAAATTCCTTATCAGAATTCTCACTCTGTTCTACCTCACTCAGTTCCCTCCTCACGAGCCTGGACTCTCTGCTTTTTGACTCCAACTGCACAGCTCAACAGCATGGCTATAAAATATACAGCCACAGGATCTTGTGATTTTCTCCATGCACCCTCCCAAATAAAAAAGTTAAAGAACTTCCAGTGCTTCAGAGTAGTTTAATATCAATTTCACATTTAAAACATCCGGGTGTGCTCTTAAAAATGATGGAAAGACAGAATTCATGCTCCACGTGGACTTCGTGAGAAATCTGTTGAGCTGTCATAAACTAACTGGTCATTGAAGCCATTTGACTGCATGAAATGCACTTTTCAATTAATCCAATAGTTTTCTGTCAGATGGAGGAGCAACATCTATTGGGTTAGATGTTAAGGAGCAAAAGTGGAGTTATTACATTGCCGGGTGTACACTATAGACCACCAAAGAGTGGGAAGGAAATAAGAGGAGCAAATCTGCAAGCAAATTTCAGAAAGATGTCAAAGCAAGATAGTTATAATGGGAAACTTCAATTATCTTAACATAGACTGGGGGGAAAAAAAAGTGTAAAGGACAAGGAGGCGGAAGAATTCCTGAAATGTGTACTGGAGAACTTTCTTGATCAGTATTTTTCCAGCACAATGAGAAAGGAAGCTGGATCTAGTTCTGGGGGAATGAAGTGGGGCAAGTGGAAGCCCCTTCTGCGCTGTAACATTCTACGATTCTAACATGGGTCAAAACATTGCAGAACATTGCTCTTACCGTTAGAGTGCATCATCGGAGGCGGAGGCATGGGTGGCTGCTGTGCAGGATCCCTGTAAGTAGCTTGCGGGAAGGGAGGTGGCCCATACGCAGGCTGAGGGAAAGGCTGGCCGTAAGCTGATCCCATAAACGGAGGCTGCACACAACCAGCTTGCTGAAAGGAAGGCTGGCCATATGGTGGAGGCTGTGGTGGAAACGCAGGATTGCCAAATGGCATCTGGTTATGCTGTGGGTAAGGGAGCTGCTTGGGGTCCCCTGTGACCAGGTAACTCTTCTCCTGCGACATGGTTACAATATATATCTGTGCTCTCGATCTGTGTGGGAGGGGAACAAAAAGTCAGTCATTTAATAATAATCCTTGCATTTGATGTAGCGCCTTGTCACAGCGGTGAGACGTCACAAAGCGCTTCACAGAATATATTGTAAAGTGGATTGACTGTATTTGCGGGTGAAAAGCGACAGCCAATTGCACACAGCAATGGCTCACAAACAGTTGAATGAATTTTTTTTGAAGGAATTATTACTCCTGGAAAGTGATCCGCCAATCAACTAACAACCGGGTTCCCACTTACTGCTCGGCAGACAGAGACATGTGGAGTAAGGAAAATTGCTTAAGGTTTCGCTCTGCCTTTGAATCGAACCCGGGTTCTCTTGCTTTCAAGGCGAGTGCTCTAACCACTACTCTACAAGACACAGTCGATGAGAATTGAGCCATAGACAAAATATTCAAAACATGACATACCAGCCCCTCCTTGCCAAGCTGCATTGTTTAGTTGAGGAGGAATCATTTCAAGATCCTTATCGTCTAATATAATAATCCTTGCATTTGATATCACGCTTTATCATGTCTTTGGGACGTCTCAAAGCGCTTCACAGAATATACTGTTAAGTGAATTGACTGTATATTTTGTGGATGAAATCTTAGTTTTTAAATCCTCTCTCCACCCCCCATTGCCTTACTCTACACGGTGTAATCTTCCCAAGAATTGTATCTCACTCGACTACAAGTAAGAAGGCATTGACGGCATCAACTGCAAAAATGCTCACTGCACAGAGTGGTGTCTTGTTTGACTCACAACTTTCCTTCAAACTCCACATCTGTGCTCTCATCTGCACAGCTTTCCCTCATCTCTGCAATATCCCACCTGAAAACCCTTTGTCACCTCCCCCTCCCCTGATATCGAACCACATCACAGTGCGGCTCTCTGAGACATTACCCAACATGAAGGGTGTTATATAAAAGCAAACTGTTTTGCCACAACTGCAAGGATTGCCACAGATGCACAGCATAAACCTTGTCTAACCCTCCTCCACACGATTATTTTGAGCTCCAATCTGGAAGTCATGCAAGTACAAATAACAAATCAGGATCTACTGGGGGCAATTTGAGATGCTGCATTTTAAAATGCACTATTTTTAACAAGTACATTTTTTCCCTGAAGCAAATTGCTGCAGACATGTATTTTTTTTAAAAAAAATGTATTCTCACCTCCACAAGGACTGGGATCTTACACCACATTGCTAACACTCAGTTCCATTTTTCTGTATTCATGAGATTCTTAGTCTCCATCACCCAATGCACATTTTCACAATATCCACCGCTCACTGCACATCTAATTCAGGGATTTGGAATAAAACCTGAGAAAATTTTTGCCAATTATATGCAAACCCAATCTCTACCCTGAGATGTTGCAAGAAAATATGCAATTTGCCCCTGATTATTCAATGTCACCCTGTATTGAACACTTAAATTGGGTTATGTATTGTCAGATAGGTTTTAGCATTCTGAATAATAAATAATAAACCTTGCATTTGATAGAGCACCTTATTATGTCGTCGAGACGTCTCAAAGTGCTTCACAGGATATACTGTCAAGTAGTTTGACCTTGCACTTTGTGGACGTATAGGAGACTATCCTGCACACATTATAAGACGGTTCCTCTGGAAGGCAGTGATGAAAAATGACTGAAGTGTTCAGTGATATTGTCAACATGATATAGTTGAAATGCTAAGTCCTTTCCTGAGAGGCAATTAAGGAGGGTCTCATACAGATCCTAAGATATGGGCAGAGGGATTGCTGTCAGGTTGATGCACGATAAAATCATCCTGCCAACACGACAGTATTGCAGAGGCTGATCGTCCCAGCCCACCTACCTATGGAACTCCAATTGAGTGATTTCAGACCTGGCCTTGAAAACACACATCTGAAGAGATTAGCTTTTCACAAGGCAGATGGACTGGACTCTCCTGGGAATTCAGAGCCAGGATACTTTGATAGATAAAGGAGATTGCCTTGTTGAACTGCCCCTGAAAACCGCTGTTATCACACCCCTTCTCAAAACCCCCCATCAATCCCTTTAATCTCTCACACTCCCGGCCCATTTCCAAACTACCTTTCCTTGCCAAAGTGTTAAGAATAATTAGTTAAAAGCAATAAATTGTAAGTAAGGATAACAGGGAACTAGACAAATAGGGTGAACCACGTGAGGCAGGGAAAAACTGCTGACACTGACACTGTCTGAAGGTTGAAGCTCTGAACAATGGACACAGGGTATCTGCATTTCATAAGAATGCTTGCATAAACACATAACATATATATATATATATATATCTAGGTTGGAACAAGACAGAGGGAGGACAGATTACGGAAGGAGGTATTAAAACACGGAAGTAATGTCTGCAAAGCATCCTCTGTTACGGGTCACGCAAAAAGTACATGATAAAATAACGTTGATCCAGAATGTATAGAGAATCGTGTGATGCTATTCGGACTGTAAGAAATCACGTTGTAGCTTATCTGGACAGCAGTGGTAGAGTCGGATTATGCTGAGCAGTCTTACTGCCATTGCTGTCCAGAAGCTGGGATCGGGTAATATGGCTATTTTGCTGTACGCTGTCTAATATATGTATAGTGTTTAAGGTTTATCTTGTATGTGTTTGATTCAACTAATAAACTTGCTTGATTTAAATCTGCACATTGAAGTCCTAATGAAATCCTTACAAAAGTCCTGGGACGCATTGTTCAAGGTCAATTTTGGTCACACTTCTCCCTCCACAAGCCTCTGCAGTCTGGTTTTCACCCTGCCCGCAGCACAGAGCCAGCGCTTGTCAAAGTCACAAATGACATCCTCTCGATCTGTGACCAGGGCTCCCTCTGCCTCCTCCTCGTCCTGGATCCCTCTGCTGGTTTTGACACAGTCGACCACACCACCCTCTTCCACCACCTCTCCTCCCTCATCCATCTTAGTGGCACTCACGTGGTTCAAATTCTACTCAACCAATCACCTCCATTTCATCTCGGCAAATGGTTTCTCCTCCTGCCCCCGCCCGGTCACTTGCGGGGTTCCCCAGGGCTCCATCCTTGGCCCTCTTCTTTTCCTTATCTATATGCTCCCTCTGGGCGATGTCATCCGCAGACACGGGATAAACTTCCACATGTATGTGGATGACACACAAACCTACTTTGCCTCCAGTACCAACTCCAGGTCTACCGATGTTCTATCAGCTTGTCTGGCAGACATCTGCGCCTGGATGAGTGCAAACTTCCTGCAGCTGAATGTGGACAAGAAGGAAGCCATACTCGTTGGCTCCCGTCAATGTCTTCACTCCTAAGGATCTGAACTCCTCAACCTCCCTGGGTTCTCCCTCACGCTCACTGAACCAGTGCGCAATCTAGGCGTCCGGTTTGACCCCCAGCTTTGCTTCGTCCCCTACATCCGGTCCCTGACCAGGACCACTTTCTTCCACCTCCGTCACATTGCCTGCCTCCGACTGTACCTTACCCCAAAGGCAGCCGAAACTCTCGTGCATGTGTTTGTCACCCCCCACCTGGATTACTCCAATGCACTCCTCGCCGGTCTCCCCAGGTCCACTATTCAAAAGATCCAGCTCATTCAGAACCCTGCATTTGTGCTTACCCGCACCAAACTCCGTACCCACACCTCAGCAGTTCTGGCCAGGCTTCACTGGTTCCCCATCACCAAAAGGATCGACTTGAAGATCCTCAGACTCATATTCAAATCCACTCACTCTCTAGAACCTCCCTCCCTGACCTCCTCATTGCCCAATCCACTACCTAGCGCCTCCGCTCGTCTGGTACCGGCCTTCTGCTCATCCCTCACACACTCCACCCCACCATTGTAGGTCGCGCTTTCTGCTACTACACCCTGAAACTCTGAAACCTTTCCCCCTCACTCCCTTTTTCAAATCCAGCCTGAAGATCTTCCTCATTGACCATTCTTACGGCCACTCTCCACCCCACCCTCCACCCCGACTCGGAGTTAGGCTCCACCACTGTTAAGCGCTCAGACACTTCACTGCCTGGAGGGTGCTAAACAATTCCAAGTTTTTGTTGTTATTGTTGCTGATCGATGTGGAACTCACTGCCAGAAACTGTGGTTCAAGTAGGAAGTTCTCAAGGAGGCAAGGGAGAGGGTGAGGCAAAGGGATTCTGGATGAAGTTCCAGAGGGGACAGATAAGCTGAACGTTCGATCGCTAATGATGGTCAGGCAAGTGCCCACCGAGAGGAAGCAGCAAGCAGGTTGGTAAGTTTTTAGTAGGTCGCAGGGGTAGGGAAGAACAAGACTGCGTAGGGCTTTAAAAGTGAGAACGACAATCCTCTGGGGGATGGGGAGCCAGTAGAGCCGGGCAAGGATGGGGCGATCGGCTCACAGAGTTTGGTACGGGAGTTGACATGAGCTTCAAAGTTCTAAATAATCTGCATCTTGTGGAGAGAACACTTGGAAAATCCGCTGAGCGTGGAGTTAGCATTATGATGCCTGGACATAACAAAAGCATGGGTTAGGGTCTCAGCAACGTGAGGGGAGAGGTAGTGGCAGAGGCAGACAAGTATCATGGCAGAGATGTAGGATTTAAAGGACAGTTGAGGGTCAAACAGAACATCACAGTTCCATACTGGCTCAGAAAGGTGGAGATTGCATCAGTGAACAGTGATGTTTGTCAGAGCCTGAGATGAGGAGCCACTGACGGGAACCATGCACGAGGGCCTCCGTCTTATCAACATTCAACTGAAGAAAGTTGACTCTTATCCAAGACTTACTCTCTGACAGACAACCCATCAGGACATCAGTGGTCCTGGAGTCGAGGGAGGAGGCAGAGAGATAGAGTTGGGCGCCATCTTCATAGATGAAGAAGTTGACCCCATGCCTGTGGATGATATCATTGAGCAGGAGCATGTAAATATTAAAGAGGAGAGGACCAAGGACAGAGTCCTGAGGAATGTTGCACGGGACAGCATGGGGAGGAGGAAACGTCATTCGCGGGTATAAAATGGAGACAATGGGAAAGATAGGA